AATTATTTTAAAATAATATATTATAAAATTATTATAAAATTATTATAAGATTATTATAAGATAATTATAAAATAATTTTAAAATTATTTTAAAATAGTTATATAGTAAAATTATTATAAGATTATTATAAATTATTATAAGATACAATTTTAATAATTGTATTAATATCTTTAAGATTATTAAAAAAAAATAGCTAGTTTCTGTAAAGTAAGTAAAAATAAAATTTTTCAAAATTCAAATTAAAACATCTTGATAAAATAAAACCAAATTCAATAAAAACAAATTTGTAGCTTTTATTTTAATAGTTTTTGATTTTTTAAAAACTTTTAACAAAGATATCTTGACAATTATTTAACTAAATTTAATAAAAATTTTTTTATTTATTATTTTTTTTTTTGAATCAATTCAGCAATTATGCTATTACTTTATTAAGCTCAAATACTCAAATCTATTTCATATCTATTTTATTACAAGTATAATAAGACTCTATAGTCTTTGCCATATTGCCTAATCTAAATGATAATCTAGCTTCTTGTAACCAAAATCCAATTCATCTATGTTTGATCTGCTATAATAAACATTTACTTTATATTATTTTTTCTGCAACCAAAAAATCTAATATTTTACCAGAAGGTATTTACATCCTGCTTATTATGATTGTTTTTTCTTTTCTTAATTCTAAACCTTCTTTTTCTAACTTCCTATATAAAAAGAAAAACTTCTAATTACTATATAAAAAAACTTTAAAAACAAAAAAAAAAAAAGTTCAAAATAGAGAAATACCTATATAAATACTACAATAATACAACCAAAAAAATATAAATAAAAGAAGAAGAAGAAAAAAGAAAAAAGAAAAAAATAAAAACAATTTATAGTAAGTGTACTATTATAGTTTGTGCTAAGTAAAAATAAAAATTATATAGCAAATACAATATTTGTATATCTCTATTGTAAAGCTTTGCCTTAATGTTGAATTCTTTTTTTCGATCTTCTGATTAACTTCATATGACTTTGTTTAAGCCTGTCCTAATTCATATTTTTAGCTAGATGCTACTGCTATCTGTAAACCCATATTTTAAGCTACTTGCTGTCACTATTAAGGGGTTTATGTTAGAAGCCCAGCAGTGTTACATATAGAATGTATTTATACTATATTTAATGTTCAATATCCAAGATTGTTCAAAATTATCTAAGCCTATGTTTCATGTTTAAATAATCAATAAAGTAATTTAAAAAATTATGATAACTTACCACAACTTACCATGGAACTACGTATAAAATTCGCATTACAATAACAGCGATAAGAATAATTTAGTTAAAAATAAGACAATATCTTAATGCTTATTATTTAAGTTTAATTTGCATCTATCAAAATGCTTGATGACAATTGTTTTAAAAAGCAAAAAAAAAAAACTTACAACCAACCCGGTAACTTACAAGAACCAGTTAACTAAATTGTATAGCTTTATGATAGTAATTATGAAAAGGCAAAGGAACTCACTCCTATACAGTCAAAGAAAAATATAAAGCCATAGAATTGGCACATCATACATCAAATACATTTGCTGCTCAAACCTATTTTCTCGACTTAACAATGCTTGGTCATCAAGGCAACCTTTTCAACAAGAATTCACGAAGAGTTGGCTCTGGACATCACGTATTGTTTTCTGAAGAGGAAGCTCAACTCTATGAATAGATAATAGAACTTCATAAAGATAGTCTTGTGGTTAATTATTCTAGTATTAAAATTAAAATGGCTAAAATTATGAAATCGAGTACAGAACTAGCTCAAGAAGATGCAAAAAAGTCAGCAATTAATAATTTTAAATTTTTTCAGCACTGGCTTAGTCATTTTTTAAAACGGTATAACCTTTCTCTCTACCACAAAACTAATATTGCACAAAAGTTACTAGAAGATCTCAAAAATAAGCTGTTACAGTTTCAGCAGTTTGTTATCCACCTTCGTTAGAAAAATGATTATCCTCTTAGTATGATTGTAAATATGGATGAGACCCCAGTTTGGTTTAACATAGTAGGTAACTTGACTATGAACCCAAGAGGTATGAAAACGGTTCATGTTTGAACAACTGGAAATGATAAAAATCAATTTACCGTGGCCCTAACATGTCTTGCTGATGGCACTAAGCTTACCTCAGTTATCATTTTCAAAGAAAAGATTTGGCCAGCTCACATGCCTTCTTCTCTAGCTAGTATAGTTGTTTGGTTTCAAAACAAAAGATGGATAGATGAGTCAGAAATGGATCAATAGATAAAGTACTGGAATAGAATACGATCAAGGGGACCTCATTCAAGAGCAATACTTGTTTTAGACTCATTTTCAGCACATAATTCAGATTGAACTAAGCTTGCATTAAATTTGAGTAATGCAGATATAGCTGTTATTCCCGGGAGCCTTATTAGCATGTGTCAATCTCTTGACGTCTGCATAAATAAACCTTTCAAAGATAAACTTCGTCAATATTGGCATAGGTAGATGGCAAATGGTAGTAACAGTAGAGTGTCTGGCAAAGTGGCAAGGGCATGCCAGTGGTATACCTTTAGCTGGCTTGGAATGCCACCTTATAATTTTTAATATATATATACTATATATATATGTGTATATATATTACTATGTAAATATTAATAGATTGCAACTAATGTAGTACAGAAATTATGTATAACATGTGGCATGCCATTTGTGGTAATAGCATGCCATTGGCATGCTAATTTTTTTGGGCATGCCAGACTCTCTAAGTAATGGTCTTACTAAGGGTGGAAATTTGAAATGTGCAAATTTAAATACAGTATGCTATTGGGTGTTAAATACATGAGATAATATTTCTTATGATATTATCATTCGGTCATTTAAAAAATATGGTATTTCTAACTGTTTATCAGGAAGTAATAATCACTTAATTTACGAAAATAATGATGAGAATTTGGAAGATTCTGAGTCTGTTAATAACAGGATACTTTTGGCCTACTAATTCTCTGTAGAATTCATATGATTCTTGAGGTGTGAGCACTATTTTCATAGTATCTGTGATAATTTTCTATTTGTAAACAAGGCAATGAATAATAATGCATTTTATTATTAAAACTTAAATTGTAATAAAAGTAAACACACCTTTGCTTTCCAAACACTAGCCAATACTTTAATAAGGCTTCTTATTTCTTCAACTGAGTTTGGAACCTCAAGAAGCTTATCCTGTTTTAGTATTGTCACATATCCTTTGGGACTACTCATTTGTAAAAATTGTGATTTAAGACCTATAATTCAAAAAATCTCAAAAATATTGTATATATATTGAATTCATTGAATTTCTTTTTTTTATCTACCCAAGTGAAACATACCTGGGATATGCAACTTCCTTACTATGGTTTCCCAATTATCAACCCTTTGACATAAGTATACGAAAATATTATGCATGGCTTTACTGAGCTTAAATGCATCACCCAGCAATTTGGTTTGCTCATATTTTTTAGCTACTTCGATTGCTCTGTACTCAATATTATTTATATAAATTTGGAATATTCATCTATTTTATATCTTATCTTCTTACGTGGAACCTTCCTGTAACGTATTCGCGCTCTCTTTTGATTTTTTCTTGCAGATACCGTTTCACTTGATGACTTTTTTCTAAAAAAAAAAAAATTAATTTATCTGAATAATTATGAGAGCAAAGCTATATTATATACATAAATACCTTACTACTTTCATTCCAAATATATCGGAAAGACCATGATCAACAATTTGTAACCACAAATTAATACAATACCAAGACTCGAGATGCGCTCTTTTTAATGGTTCATTAGGATCTTCGAAATACGTAAGACTTTGTAATAAATAAGTATATGCATAAATATTATTAAAACATCACGATAATCTTTCCAATATAAAGTAGATGCTTACAATTTTCTCATTATGATTTCTACCTATTCAGTATCGAAATGATCCTCTTGACTGTAAGAATTATCTTTTTTTAAAAAAGATGTTGTTGCCAAGACTTTTCTTAGTTCACATGTTGTTTTGACCTATAATTGAAGTTGTTATCATTAGAAGTACAAATAAATTAAAAATCGTTATAGGGGTTAGGGTCCCATAGCCTAGTAGTTTAGGCACCTAACCCTCCACAGACAAGATCAACGGTTCGATTTCAGCTGGTGGTAATTAATTTAATTAATTATCTCTGTAACTTATAGGAGCTTTCGAATGCGAAACCCTGTGATAATAAGACCATGTGAAGTACTTATTAGATCTATAAAGAATTCTTGGAAGGAGTCCCAAGCCGTAAAGAAGACTGGGCACTACATGTGATATAGTGTAACAGAAAGTAATACTGCATAAGGCTGTGCATATAAATCCTCGATTGGCTAGATAGCACCAACAACCCTAAGGCGGTCTTGGGGATCTTGATTGGGAGGACGGCTAAATG